TTGCCATTTCAAAAAACATTTTTTTCACCATGTACCTTTACTTGTTTCAGTTGTAGTCAACTGGCGATTATTTTCCCACCAAATTTAAGAAATCATAAAAACTCTTCTACGTTTACTGATTTTTAATACCAGATGTTCACTTGCTAATTCTATTACCTTGTGACTACTTCCTATCAATTCATTAAGTGCCAGCTGCTCAGCCAAACAGAAAAGCCCAGCTAATCAGATGGTATTGGTAAACAGCCAAACAAGAGCTCCCTTCTTCCCCATATCTTAAATTAGCAGTCACTGGGAAAGCTATGGCAACCTTCACTACTGTATTAAGATTTTACCCTTACATGTCACTTGGAATCTGAAAGTAAAACACTGAGTAAAATCAGAAAGGATCTTGCAGTGGAAACTTTCTACTTGTATCCCTCCTATGCATTGTTTCACCCAGTGCTGCTACTGATTGAAAGAAAGGCACTCCCAGGACCAATACTAAAAAGATCTGAGCCACAGCTAAAAGTTAGTGTGTGCTTGGCCTAACAATATTCCCTTGCAAGCTTTGCAAGAGAGAGATGTCCTTGGTTTTTTACTGTATTTTTTTCCACTTGCAAGTTTAAAATAAGTATTCATTGCTTATTCTTTAACCTAACAACTAGGTGTCTCAGTGATAACAAGTAAGGCATTCCTGGCTCTGCAGGGAGACATACACCTCCCTTCAAATGAGGACAGATGAGAAGGGTATTCAATGCAATTTGTAGGGATCTGAACATCTCTCAATGTAGCAGTTTCTCTGTATCAGTGAATAAAAAGATACAAAACTGCACACTCAATTCTCCTTTGCTACAGATCCAGCCACAAAAATCAGCCTTATAAGAAAACTTAAACTCCTCTGTCTCACATGTCACTCCTCTAATTTATTCTAGTACTCATTCCAGCAATAAGCTGCCAGCAATGATCACACGCTATGAAATGGGAAATAATAAATCTAATAATAAGAAAAATAAAATAAGTTTTATGGAAGTTTTATTTTCTAAATCTTATAATATTCTGAAAACAATTCAGAATGAATTGAATGCACCAGGAGATATTAAATGAAATGTTACAAATTTTACAACAATAAATGTTTGTATTCTGAGAATAATTGTTTCAGAGTATTCTGAGATGGCCACATTTTTCTGGCTGTCAGGTAAATACTATGAATGTGAGTTGTACAGCACACAGAAAATAGCACCTCTCAGCAATAATTACACAGCTCATCTGTATTCTCTTTAGGGAATTTAAAATCATGTCATATACATCCTTTACAAATGCTGTAACAATTCCACAAAATCAAGAGAAGAACAGAACACAAAGGAGACCCAATATTTCTACTGCATGTGTAGATCACACTGCACAAATAATGCTTTGTTCTGCTTGTCACTAGACCAAAATATTCAGACAGAAATTGTGGAGAGTTGATGTGAAATACAAGATTTCAGCTTCCCTACCAAAACAAAACATTGCATTTCATCTAAAACACTCCTTTTTTGGGTGGGGGGAAAAGTGAGTGAGTTTTGGTTTGTTTCTACAGTACGTTGGGCTTAAGTGCTCAAATAAATATTATTTCAAATACAAAAATAAAAATGCTTTGAGGATTTTTTTAAAATGTAACAGACATGCTTTGTTTCATTTATTTTCTCTGGGTTTTCTAGCTGCATTAAAAAAAAATGGGCCATTTATTCCTAACTGGGACCTGGACAAGAGCAGAAAGAGTAAGAGAAAAAAGAGTAAGAGAAACCTAGGAATACAACAAGCATGAGGGAATGATGATAGAAGAAAAATGGACATCAGGAAACCAATTTTCAGAAAGACTCCTACTCAGGAGAAGCACATCTCTCAGTGACTCGGGAAAGGCTGTTACACAGCCAGAAGGAAAGGAAGAGTGAACGATGAGAAGCAGGAGAGATGGAGGAGGAAGAGCAAGAGGAGCAAGGAAAGTGCATGATTTGTGGGGTGGATAGAAGCAGCAGCAAGGAAAAAATGGGAGAAAAGGGTAAAAGAGCCTCTCAAATCTCTAGGATAAAATTTTGCCTCATGACTCAGTACTCTTTTGATGAGTAACAAAAAAGAGAGCAGCTTAAGGTCCCTGGTTTGGATTCAGTTCGTACAATTTCAAGCCCACCCTAACCACAGTATCTCCCACCAACCTGTTTCAAAGGACGTCTGGGAAAGTATTTCAGGGAAGAAAGACTCACAGAGTTACAATGGCTCTTACCAGCCCTCCTTACACTTTCCTAACCCCAAACCTCCCACCACCTTCTCCCCACCTTTTGGCTGAAATTGTGTAAGATAATATGTTTTTTTAAGTCATATCAGCCCCTTCCTGCTTAATCTCTACAGAGACTTCAGGCTTGATGACACTGTTTTAACACTCCTGCCTTTATTGTGCATAGTGCAAAAAAATGGGACAGAAGAGCTATTGCCATTTGTGCTGTGACATCTCTTCATGCATATGCCACCCTCATCACGTGCCACGTGGTCTCAACTCCTTTGGACCTTTTATGATAAGCTGTATAATATGCTGTGAATGCATATCCATAGTCATACTCATGATAGGTCCAGTGTAAAACAAAAATCTTAATTCTCTGGGTTCATTCTGTAAACTTCAGTGATAAATCTTTTTTTTCTATAAAGTGCCCATCCAAACATCACTTCTGAAGCCCTAAATATAATTTAGTAGATGTTTTTGAGTTTCAGGAGAAAAATCACTGGATGACAGTAAACTGCTATATTTATTCACTACTGTTTCTAGCCTACACCATGACTCAAGTGTACTTCAGCTAAGTTCCACTTGGCATTTCACACCTTGGCCAGCAACTGGACCCCTGAGTTCATCCAGCTGAAGAACAGCTCTAGAAAAACAGCCCTAAAAGGAAAGCAGATACCAGAGGGAGAAGAGAGGGGCCAGTTACTGCTGATTTTTTTTTTTGCCATGTGACACCATCAGGTATAGAAATTCCTCAGAACCATCTGAACCAAGTTTCAAACGGAACAAGCTCTTGCAGCTGCACAATAAATCCCTGAAAGCCTGGATTTACGAGAGGGGCACTGCCAGAACAGCAGCTCTAGCACTGCTAGTGGGTGCTGCTATCATCACATCAGATCACATTATAGATGGCTAAGAAGGTTTTGTGAGCCTGGCCTCTGCGCCTGCCGAATTTATAGTGTTCCTGTCAGGAAGAAATCAAGTTTCATAGTTATGACATTTCTTTCTGGAGCACTAAATGTTAACTTTGCTGATCATGCATATCTTGGTTAGAACAGCTTATTTCTAAATGGCAAACGTGGTATAAAAAACATAATGACTTCATTCAAAACCTTTATAAAGAAGCTGATTCTCACACCTATAGAAAACAGGCCAAGTGGTATTTTAGTCATCAGAGTATGGAAATAGATACACACTCAATATATTAGATTAATTTCTCCCATTTTAAGTCATGTCATGATGCCAGAATTGCAGTCTATCTAAAACTAGTCACTTTTTGTACTTATTAAATGCACTTAAATAACATCTTGTAATAAAAGTAATACTTCTGGCAGATACCACCAGCAGTAATGCTTTTCTTTTACATGTTTCACTCTGTACAAGGATTTAATGTTAATTGATCACCATTCAGAGCTAGCTGATTGTACATAAGGGAAGGAAAGGACAAAAGAAGCCTCACACGGTCTATAATAAAATTAATCTACAGTTTCAGAACTCAGAACAAATGAGAGAAATATGCAGCATCACTTGACAGGTGTGAGTAAAACAGCAGTGGATGCACACTTTACCTCTGTCACATCAGTTCTACTGGTGAATTTTTCTCTACATCATGTAGAGGAAACAATTCCCACTAGAGAGCTGGTGAGACCTACTGTTACTGTGGAGATATTGTGTATCCTCTAGTGCAGGTGTTGGGGAAAGAATAGCTGTAAATGAGTAACTAGCATCAGCAAGGGCCTGCTAAAGAGCATCTTTAAACCTAACAGCATGCAAACACTGTTGTTAACATTGCAAGGAACTAGCATAGTTTACAGATGCATATTTAATCTTCATTTTGACATACTGATAGCATTTAAAATAGAATTGAAGTTTATGCAGTCTACTTGCTGCTACAAACATTCCACTGCTGTATTAAAGTTATGGTTTCTGTAGAGGTCTCTGAACAGTCAAATAAAAGGTTATGGAGAGAAGTAAATGGAACTTCAATTAAATTCTAACTATTCAGTGACTGACATTAACTAATGGACAGTTGGACACCAAAGACATCATGTTTCCCCTGCCCAGTCAACAACTCTGCAGATATACTGATGATAAGGACAAGTTTTTTATAGATCCTCACCCTAAAAAGTCTCTAACTAGGACCAATCCTTCACATGCACTGACTCTATAAATCCTTCTACTTTTGAAAACACTTCTTGCCTCAACATATTTTTTAGTATGTGGCAAGAATTCAGCTCTCAATGCAGGCAGGAAATTTTCTTAACAACCTGCTTGGAAGACAGTATCAGAAGCATTTTGTAAGTATAAACATATTTTATCCAGCCAGAAGGAAATCTAGGTGTGGCTACCAGAGAGTAGACTAAGGTACTTATGATTTTCTCTGCTATCAACCTGTTCTAGAATTGCACTGCACCAGAGTTCCTGTTACATTCTATAGCATTTCCTTTTAAGTATAACATTAAGTTTCATTTTAAACAACGTTTTAGAATAGCTTCTGAGCTTTAACAGATGCAGCACTGCTTATTCCCCTAGCCCCCAGTGAATGTTAGTATCTTTTTAATTACACTACAGCTTTGTAGATAGAGCATCTTAACTCTTTGATAGTACTCGTGGGTACTTCCTCAGACTGAAGGTCTATCAGGAAAAGCAGGCCAGGTGTGCCACATGCAGTACAAGTTCATTGCCTCTTGGTGATCTTCCTTAAGACAGTCACTGTAAATGTTTTTGTTAGGCACAAAAAGCCCTTTTTTTTTTCTATATCTCTTACCTTTATGACAGAGGCCCCTGCCCTGGAGAGGGGGCTGTGCATTTGTGCTGCTGCAGCCATGTTGGCGATGGTGTTGAGGTGGTTCATCTGGTTCATGGCCATGGCGACCGAGGCGGGAGGTAGGCTGACGGGGAGCAGAGGGTGGGGCATCATCATGAAGGGCAGGTCTAGCCCTAAGGAGAGCAGGGAACAGCAGTCAGCCCCACACTTCATAGCCCAACACCTTCATTTGCAGTCTACATTCTACTGGAACATTGACCAGTCGAGCTTAACATGAGTATGTTAATAATTGTGATGTTACACAGAGAGGAACCATCTCTGCATTCCAAAAAAGGCTGCATAGCTTGTATTAAGGAAAGCATCATATAGCTGTAAAGTAACACAGTATTAGCAAAATCAATATATAACAGTGCATAAGCTCTTTAAAAGCAATAAAAAGCTACACAGAAATATTAGTTATTAATAAATTAACCTGACAACATACTCTTACCAAGTCCTGTCACTATTATTAGTTCACACACATTTTATATCAGGACTATTCCTTGAATGCAGGAAACTGTGGGTTCTACTACAGACACGACTGAACTACCATACAGAAGGTCGGTGAACTGGAACATGTATTTGAGAGGTTTAAATTGTTGCCAGAGGTCTTAATTTCCAAAAACTCACTTTAAATTGTCTTCTGCTATGGATGTAAAACAATTTAAGAAGACATGAAATTCATTTGGACCAACTTGCAGATCTTGACGTTGCCAAAAAGGTGATGCTACTGCTAGCAAGAACTGGATTCTCATATTTTAAGAATACCTATTTTGGCATGTGTATTACTTATTGTATTTAGTAATGACTATAGTGGAAAGCAAAACCAATACATCAATTAACTAAGTAAATAAATATTTATTTTAAGAATTCTTTAAATCCACCACTGGAAGAAAAAAAAAAATTCATAAAAACCAGGACTCATTCTGCCAGACAAAATGTCTTATTGTTTTCCTAAATTAAATTTAGATTATAAATTCTAATTTAAAAATTCAGGTACAAGTAGTAAAGAACATAACCATACAGCTAGTCATAACCATATGCTCTTCTCATTAATTATTTCCAAAAGTTTTTAACTTCTGCCTCTATCATAACAATTTTAAACAAAAAGACCAGTCACTATTTTGGTGTAGGACAGAAGCCACGTTACAAAATATCACCACCCACTGACAGAGCTTGTGTTATTTCAATACAATTTGACTACAGCAATATAAAAACCTCACTGAACTGTATGTGTGCTGAGCTCCCACACCATTTCTGTTTAGCTGTAGTGGGTCATGATCAAAAACTGTGATGCTTAATGATCCACTATGTATTTTGTATGTTGAGCCACACCAATATTAATTATAATAGGAAATAAGCAAAGCCCGTGTACATCTCCCTTCACTTTAAACCACACTGACAATCCCCTTCAGTGCTTCCATCCCCAAGCCTTTGTTCCCCTGCATAACTCCCTTAACAACCCAATCATCTTTCCTCATACTCTTTAGTTTCAAAACTCCCAGACACCATCTGGCCACACTGAGTTGTATGTCTACTTAAAGTCCAATTGACATGCAAACTAAATGCAAACTACAAACAGAATTTAACAGCACATCACCAGTTTTAAGACACAATCCGTCAAACATTTCAGAGGACTATGAAGAAAATATATCCTACACTTGCAAATCATTGGGCATAATGTCTGACATTCAATAAACCCTTTAATAGCCTATAGACATTTGCCTGCTACAAATTCTACTGGAAAATATCTTTAACAGCAAAGAACACAATATCCCTGTATGTAAAAAATATACAGGTATTGAATTATGCAAGAATATAAAATGAAAGGATAAACTACAGTGAATTTCAGTCCTGTGATTCCAAACTACTGACACATTTAACCCCATGTGCTCAGGTCCGTATTTTCCCATGAACAAAGCACAACCATATTGCAGGAGGCATTTCCATAGCTTTGATTTGTTCAAGTCTGGGGCCCTACACAGGTAGCAAAGAACTATCTGTTCTTAAAATTGTGTAAGGAGCCAGAAATTCATCCATTAAAACTAATACAAAAAATCAGCTTTCAAAACTGTGATGATGAAGAGCTTAAACAAACAACAAGACTTGAGAAGTGGTGAGATTTTCATTCCTCACCCATCAGCATCTGTTAGAAATAACTTTACTCATCACTATTTTAAAAAATATTAATCCTGAACATCTTCCTTGGAATAACTTTCCTTTCCTTCCCCTTATGGGTACAAAGAAGGGGAACTGCTGGATTTCCACCTGCTCCCTTCCTAAGGGGAAGAAAAGAGAAGGGTTTGAAAGGAGCTTTAAATTCCAAATCCAAACTGTGTCATTTTATTCCTGTTGCTTTGGACAGCTGGGTTCAATGGATGACCTTGCTTACACCTGGCAGGTACAAGACAGAGGAATTGCTTCTGCTTGCTTTTAACTTGTATTTATTCCTGGCTCTAATATTTTTATTTGATGGTCAGCATTTTCACCTGGAAGATAATCTTCTCACACAGCTAAAATTTTAAGCAATTTTCTGGTTCAGACCAGGCCATGGAAGTGTCAATTAAGGAATGAGTCCCTCACTCAGCAGCAAGTGACCATTCCTAGAGGGCAGCTGTATCCCAGTGGGTGGCTTAGACATGATACACATGCAAGCTCAGGCTCCAAGCAGGGGTCCTTGGACTTTTCTCCCCCCTAGGAACACAGTACGTACTGTTGGTGAGCAGGTGATTCTGCTGGAGAGGACTGAGTGGGTGAGCACTTCCAAGGCTTGACTGCCCTGACAGTGTGGGATGACCAATGCTGTGCTGTGATCCTGTTGTAATGGGAGACTGAAGCTTGTCTTTATCCCAGGAGGATTCACTCCCACCTGCAAGACAGGAGACAAACAAACCAAAATGGCATATATTTCTCTTTAAAAGGAATTTTGTTTGGTTGGCAGTGAGCTAATACTTCTTGCCATAGCACAACAGACTTGAAACCTACACCTAAATTAATTAATATGCATCAGGGAAAACAAAAGTATTTTCAGCATCACCTACTTTCCTACTAAAAGGAAAAGCTAAGTGTTTAAGGATATCAGCATCCAAGTAAGTATCAGTCTCAATTAAGTAAAAAAGGCAGAAAAGGAACTTCTGAGACACTAAATCACCATCTCCTGCTATCACAGGGAATCAGGCCACTCAGTCCCTCCCAGACTAACCAGCGTCCATCCTGGGGCTCATCAAGTCTCTCACTGCTGTTCATCCCCTTGGAGAGTCACTCACTCCTCCAATGCTCACTAGCATTCTACCTTAAACTCATCCCTGAGCAGTTTAAAACCATTTATCCTGCTGCTGTGTTATCTTTGAGCTTAAAAGAGCTTTTCCTTCACTGCTGGGTTTGGTCCTGGGAATGTCCTAAGTGAAACTCTTCACTTTGCTGGGTTAAACAAGGCAGGCACTAGGTTGGGCTTGGAAATCATCAGTACTCAGGAATCTAAATTTAAAGAGTCACAATATCTAATATGCACAGTAATTACTACCTATAATAAAAACACAGTATAGCAAACCTAGCACTTGTGTTTGGTGTAGAATATCTTCTGAAGAGAGCTCTTCTGAAGGTGATCTGCAGCAATTTTACAAGACTGTAGTTTTCTTCAGTATTACACACTTGAATAACAAGTACCCTTTACAAAGCAGGTAAGCAGACCATGTTAGTCAATTCTGAAGTACATCTGGTCCACAAAACAAACTGTCTTAAAGTTAGATTGAACAGTTCTGAAGTATGAAAGTGTCTCAAGCACACTCCTCTTACAGGTATGCCCAACACTATCAATTAGAGTATAGATCGTTATGAAAATGTGTAACTGCAGTATTGACTTTATTTTGAATTTATGAACAAGAATTTAAATTAGAATAAGTAAATAGATTACTTTGATGCAGAAGATGCAGGCAGCAAGGAAAACACATTTTAATTGAATAAATAACAGAAAAAGTCCATTCTTTATGACAACACTTAGCTAATAAACATGATTAATACAGCTAAAAAGTCTGAAAGATCAATGATTGAGAAAAAAGGAAATCACTCCATCATTTTAGCACAATGTCCAAGTATGAATTACCTTGATATAAAAGGTTTGCAATTTGTAAAATGATACGTAATACATTGACAAAGAAAGATACACGAAATTATGCCATGTGATATAATATAACATGGCATCGTGCTGTAATTAGAACTACTACAGTTCAGGCTGTGTCAGCATCTTTGTTATTCAATATCCTGTAGATCTGCTTTTCAAATAATATTGGACTAATACTTAGTACAGGAGTTCATTTTGACTACTGTAAAAGGTGGCAATATCTGGTAAAGTAAATCTCAAGTTAAATGTATAATTTAGAAACAGGCTGGCTCAGGAAATGCTCAGCATTTGATTTTATCAAATGAGGGGTTCTTTCTCCATAAGCTTTTTCAGTAAATTTAACATTTACACTTCATTCTTCCTCAAAAACACATGACATGGACCTTAGAATGATATTTTTTTTTTCTTAGAAATAGATTTTGTATGTGAAACTCCAGGTATCAGGACAGCGGTCATGAAAACTGTGCACAAGACAGTTTGTCAGAGGTTTCTGAATGCAAAGTAGAAACCACAGGCTATATCTAAAAGTCTCCCTCTCCCCATTTTTCTCCAATACTTCCAAACTCAGGTCCAGATTGCTCAGAGTTCTAGCTCATTTACTTGTTTCTGGAAGTTTCTCTTGTCTTTCCAAAGCTTCCTTCATCTACCCAACACATTCTGTGGCCATCAAGCTGCAGTGTCAGTGCCCTACCAGCTCTCTGTGCCCTACCAGCTCTCTGTGCCCAGCTGTACAACTAGTGTACATTCCTCAGGAAAGCACAATTACTCCTGTTTCACATATGGAGAATTGCACTGTGCAGAAGAGTGACTTGCTTAAGGAAACACAGGAAACCTGCAATGGAACAGGAAGCTGAATTTAAATTATGTTGTACAGTCCAAATACTGGACCAGTTTTCCTTGCAGATGGGGACAAGAATAACTTCTTTCCCTGCAAATTCCACTTGCAAATCTGCTCCAGTATTCAGTGCCAGCAACATAAGAATAAATTGCAATACACTTATCTCTACAGACCACTCCTGTATTTTTATGTTCCCTATCACTTATCCTTGGAGAAAGGAAAAAAAATACTGGTGTGCATACGATGTTCAATAAAGTGCACGTTAAATGAAATGTATCCTGTAGTCTGCAGAACTCCACCTAGATAACAGCTTCATCCTTTCATCTGAACTGCACAGATCTGACACAGCAGTTGCAAGTGTCTTAAAAGGAAAATAGCAATTTGAATTTCTCACATAGAACTGTTCAATTGTGAAGTGTTTTATAAGGGCAGTATGATTATCTCCAACTTAGGAGCAAGAAAGTTGAGGAGCAGAATTATAAATCAGCTTCCCCCATGTTACCTGGTAGAGTAATGGTGAAACTGGAAGGTCCTACTCACGTGCTTTATACCAGACACTTTCAATTCATTCTACCTACAGCCCCTTTACATGGCTAAAAAATTATGGCTTTAAAAGAAAACTTACATCCTTCCCTACAGTATCTATACTCATACAGTAAGAAAAAAATTAATATAAATTAATAGTAAGTCAGAAATAAAGTTACTATAAACTAGTACATAAAACCATGATAATAAACTCAGTCCTTTTACTGTCTATGCAACTTAAAAAAGTATTTCTTCTTGAGCACATTTCCTTACTTAGCAGAGTTGCCAGCACATTCTATCAGAAAATGCATATTTGATGTATATACATAACAATACATTTTTACAAATTATTTATTACTATAACAATGAGAAGTGAATACATCTATAAAAATTAAGTACTCCTTAATGCTTCAGATTTAGGTTTAGCCACAATTTTTCAAATTATTTCTGTTAATTGTCATGTTTGTCCAAATAGGTGCCTCCAATAAGGCAAAGATGTCATGTTTGGATTCTAAATCCTGTCTTTGGTATGATGAGCTTACATGTGAAACTAGAAGTGAAATTATGTGGATCACAAAATATACCACAGAAAAATACATTCATGGGGCTCCAGGTTTTTTTTGTCTGTTTATATTCAAAAGGTTTGGTCTTCAAAGAAATTTGTATCAGAAAAACAAGAATGTCTTTGTTGATGCTAAAGTGCTGAAGGCTCTCACACTTTTTAATATAGCAGATAATGAGTCTAAAATTAAACAGTGATCCACACTTCTACATATAAAGATGGAATTAAAGTAATTTATTTTATGAATTTATTAAGTAAAAGGGGGAGAAAATATGAAAGAAGAAAACAAACATACAACACTCAGGAAAATGAGACAACAGAAAACAGCGATGGGACTTTACCTCTTGTATATGAGGGGAAATACAGCTTTTTATTTATTTTAAATAAGAATATTTCATTTAAAATATTGGTAACTTGATTCCTAAGTCTCATATGAATATTGTTAGAGTCCTGAGAGGTCTGTTGATTTGTCAAAAAATGCCAATACATGGATACACTTTACAAATGCTTTACGTTTAATACTATTACCTACTACCCACATGACCTTCTCTCTAACAGATAAAACTAAAGGACAAAAAGGTAATTTTTCCTTATCTTGTTTGCATTCTAGTCAATCTTGTCCCAGAAGAGATTATACTCAGCATTAAAAAAGGGCAAGAGAGACAAGAACCTCCATCTTCCAGAGCTCCTGACACTTGTCAGAAGCCAGCAGAGTGACTGGTTTGCTGGAACAGTAACACCAAAGGGGAAAGAAGCCAGAGGAACAGGCCAAGCCTGAGAGCCTGCAGAATGTACAGGCTGACCAGCAAGAGCAGCTAAAAGGGCTGACATGCTTCAACCATCCAGTTCAGGCCATGCAGAAACACCTGATCTACAGCTCTGCCTCCAGGTTTGTAGTTCAATGCACACAATGGAGGGGAAAAAAGGCCTGATTGTCTGCATTGTGCAGACTCATTTTCCCTGAACCCACTGTGTGCTCCATGGACACAGCTCTGAGTGGTAAGAGTTATTTATGATATAATTAATAATTAAGGTCTGGTATTTACCAGTCTTAGGAGGTTCTTTGAGAGAACTTCTTTATCATTGCATGACTTCCACTTGTGTTCAGCTAAGCCAAAGCCAAACAAACGTAACAAACTCCAGTCCATTCGCTTCTAAAGTGTGGTGAGAGGTAAGAACTCCCCCTTTGTGCTACTTCACAGCCCAGTGGCCAAGTTGTGTATGTCTGTGTTCCCAGGGGGATCAGATGCCGGGGAGTTACCTTCCAGGAAACACAAGCCACTGGGGGAAACCAGCCTGTGCGATACCTACACATGCTGGCGGTGATAGACCCTCACTGAGCCACTGCCCAGCTATTTACCATCCTTTACAGGTCTGTGAGCAAAGTGCTCTGTTTAAGTTTCATTTCGGTTAGCTGAAGGAAATGCAAGTGATAAGCTCAGCTTCATTTCTCTGAAAATGCTGCTTCCCACCCATCTTCCATTTTAGTAATTTTATACGGTAACTCTTTAAGCTACATGTTTTCTAGTAACAAACTCTGTGTATCTGTGTTCTCCAAAACAAAATCCAAATAACTTTTTTTGGTGAAGAAGTATTTGTGAAGATTAAATTGGTGTCTTGTTTTTAGGTATTGAAAGATCTCCACAAAGTAATCAAAGTTCAATTTGGTGACAGTTTCTTTCCATTTGGTTTCAAATTCATTTTAGCAGCCATAAAACTGTCTGGTCTAGCTAAATGAAATCCATTCAGTCAGAGATACCTTTGAATTGAACAACCACACCGTTTCAATCTATGTCTGTCATTTTATTTTTTCTTGTGATACAT